TCATATTTAAATTTTTCTTGCAACTAAAATTAAAGTTTATTTCACGCCAAATTCAACCATATATAATAAAGTTGCGATCCGTAAACGTGTTTTTGAGAAATAACTGAAAACATCCTTACAGGGTATGTTGTCAATTTTATCGGCCCGCTAATTTTGGCTACGACTTCTCTTTCTCCCCTTCTCTCTGTAATTTTTCGCAATACAAGATAACGATGAAACAGATGTTCGTAATAAATCTAATCACGTAACTGATTTTTGTATATTACACATTTTATAAATAATATAGTAGTCAAAATATATCGTAAAAATCAAAGTTATCGATAAAGTAATTTCTGATTTAGACCTTTGGTAAAAAAAATTAAAGATTATCGTCTAGAATGAAATAAACACGGATGCACTAACGTATATGTAATATTTCCTGTTATGTACGTCATTATAGTGAGCGACCTTTAAGTTACACCCTGTATATAATATTATCTTACGTTATGCGTAAATAGGTCCGAACAAATTAGAAAACATTATAAAAATATACATAACATATGTATGTATATACATATAAAAAACATGTATTGTATAAAGGCTTTAATTAATTATATGGTCTTAATTACACACTAACTTTTGTGTGAACCATTTTTTTGTCAATTGCTTCGTTTCAAGATATTGTTTCCATCCAAATGGGACATAAATATTAAACGTTACATTTAAAATTTATTATCTTTTATCATCAAAATTGGAAGGATGTTTCCTTATAAGGTGTGATAGTGATATAATAATGAAATCTTACATACGATGTATTTTGAAACAATTTATTTAACAATCTGTTTATAAAATGTAGAAAACTAATGCAGGATCTCGTACATAAGTAACATAATTTTTCATACTATTTTGCGTAAATATTTTATTTTTACAAAAATAAGATATTATTTATTCTATATAATTGTCACAATAATGGTATTGTTCAAAGAAGTGTTCAAAACAGAAGTAATTTTGCACCATGCACAACGTATAAAAGCCATTTTATCACAAATGCTGCATTTCGGTATATGTTTTTCTTCTTTAAAATAACAGTAATTGATTGGATTTTCAAACTTTTCAGGCCGTGTTGATAAATAGCCACTTTTATACCAACTATATTTAAATAAATTTCGAAATCTTGGAGAAGAAAGTTGATTGTGTGCCAAAGACTGTAATTTTATAATGTTATTGCGTAAATGTAAATTTATATCGTAATTATTTAAAATAACATTATCAGAGAAGCTTCGAATAAAATTTTTCCAGATTCTAAAGCCAAAAACATCTAAAGGTTGTATAAAAGCAGTTGTTTTTTTTGGTATTGTTAAAATATTTACTTGTTTGTCTTTTGGTACAAGTTCTATCAAGAGACACGGTAGTGTCTCGCGACCAGTTAAGGGCGTAGCGGAGACACCGTGTATCTTAACGCGAGTCGGACATTTGAGTCTTTATAATATTTCGAATCCTCAATAATGGCTGAAGCAATCGAGTTTATACTAGACTTAATCGATAGATTGAGTTTGAATTATATAATAAAAGTGTCTTTATTTCTGCTCTACGTGATTTGTAAGCAGAGATATATAAATGCAAAGTCGAAATATGAAAAATTTCTATTAAGAAACGTCCCCGTCATCATTATTATTATCATCATCATTATCATCATCGACCACGCATACATAGTAGTATCGTGCTACACGTATTCACACGTATACAACACATGCGCACACATATATCACACGTACACAACACATGCAAGATGCATGTAGTGGTAATTTTGTCCATCTCGCACGTTTTACAACAGATGGCGATAGTGGCGCTCCGCCATATCGGCAGCGTGCGGGGTTATGTTGGCTAACTCTCTCTCTCTCTCTTCTCTCTCTCTCTCTCTCTCTCTCTCTCTCTCTCTTTCTCACACACACACACGCACACACACACACACACTCTCTCATTCTCACTCACTCACTCACTGTTCGTCTTGTGTACTTATTTAGTACATTCATGATCGGCAGCGTGCGGGGTTATGTTGGCTAACTCTCTCTCTCTCTCTCTCTCTCTCTCTCTCTCTCTCTCTCTCTCTCTCTCTCTCTCTCTCTCTCTCTTTCTCACACACACACGCACACACACACACACTCTCTCATTCTCACTCACTCACTCACTGTTCGTCTTGTGTACTTATTTAGTACATTCATGATTAAACATCTATATGCATTAATGTGAAATTTACTTACAATTAGTTTACTTGAAATATTCAATCTCTAAAGTGTTTATCTTATAAGATAGACAAAAAAATCTGAGTAAATAATAAGAAAAAAAACAAGGATTATTATTGTCATAATTTTTTATCAATTAAGTACTCTCAACTATCCAATAATTAAATAAATACGTACAAATGTGCGCGCGTGTACACACATACACATATTGATATTAAAGAGATTGAAGGAGAGGAAGGAGAAGATAAAAATTTAAATATTCACATATATTTTCAAATATTATATATGAATTTATAGTTTACATATCTAATTAATAATGAATTTCTAATTATATTAAACATATCAAAATAAAGACATACATGTATTTATCAAATGAATAAAATTATTGAATACAGACTTAAAAAATTTATTAAACATAGACTTAAAAAATTAATTAATTAAACATATTCCAAATTTAGAAAAAATAAACTTTATTTATATATGCAACAGCTTTTTAAACTAAATTTTTAAATTCTATTTTATATTAGACAATTATCTCAATCAACATCTACGTCCACATTAGCTGCACTGCAGACTACCTCTACAGCCACATTATCTGCTCCGCGGATATAGCGTTATGCCAATACGATACATTACATGTACTTACTTACTTGCCTTTACTGTACCAACTCTTGTTCTTTCCACGTAATCATGTTTTTACAGTTATCGTTTGCTGTATATCTTCCAGCAAACTTTATTTCGTGTGAAGTGTATTTAATTAATTAAATCTCTGCGAAAGATTGAGAAGATGAAGGGATAATTCAAACTATGAAGACATGGTTACATGGAAAAGACAAGAGTTGATACAATAATAAAGACATACATGTATTTGTATCCTGCTGGCATAAGGTTATAGAAGTTGATTGAGATTGAAAAATAATAATGAAAATAATAAAAAAAATAAAGACACATGTATTTGTATCGTGCTGGCATAAAGTTATAAAAGTTGATTGAGATTGAAAAATAATAATAAAAATAATTAAAAAAAGGAAATATTCAATCATCATTTAAAAGCATATTTGAAATCTGTAGAATAAACAGTTTTTGCAAAAAATGTGGAGCATTAGAGCTCTAGTAAGTCTAAAAATAAATGTAAACATCAATTAATAATAACTGATGTTATATATATATATATATATATATATTATATATATAAACCAATTTGTTGCAATATTCACTATAAAAGGTTGTAAGGGTAAGATGGCTAAAAGTGAATAATTTAAAAGATAGTTAACATAATTTTACATAAACTGAAATATTTCATAGAATAAAATATTTGTAATATTTCGAAGTTTATGTAAGATTATGTAAAAATTATACCTTTACAACTTTTTATAGTAAATATTGCGAGGAATCGATTTATATGAGAAAAATTAAGGTAATTCTATTTTGAAAATATAAGTGACCTTTAAATAACCTTGAAAATCGCCGTTTAGGAAAAAGTCTGTGTCAACTTTTTCTTTTTCGAAATCCTGCAACTTTTATCTAAATTTAATAGAAAATGTATAAAAAATGCTCGACATTAGTACACACACACACACACACACACACACACATATGGGTAAATTTATATAAATAGGGTGCTTTAGGAGGAATGATCAGGATTCTAGGATATGATTGTACACATCATTTTAAGCAAAGAAGTTTAGATAAACATGTTTAATAATTGTTCTATTCCGGTCATAAAAATATACAAAAATGAATGATATAATCTCTAAAAACTCACCTTTAAAAAAAGGTAAAAAAAGGCGACCAGTTAAGGGCACGCCATTAACAAAAATTATCCATTGCAAACCCATGTAGAATCCTATCCTATTGCAAACCCATGTAGAATTGTATTAAAAATTATCCATTGCAAACTTATGTAGAATCCTACATTGCAAACCCATGTACAATAGAATTGTATGAAAAATTATCGATTATAAACCCATGTACAATCGTAACAAAAGTAATGAAATAAAAAAAAATTGCGCCAAGTAAAAGTAGAAACTTGTACCAGTGGAAAATTAAAGTTGCAGACATATATAGAGTCGTATAATGAATCAGTAAAAATTTAAATTTGCAAATGTAGAATCGTACCATAAAAAAACTTATCTTTTAAAAAAAAAGATAAACAAGATGCCAAGTCCATGCGCCATGTGAAAAAGAAATAAAAAAATTTTAGTTAAAAAAACTGGGAGCGCTGCTAAATAATATTCTAACAATATTAAAATTAAATTGTTACTTTTAAACTCATTACAGTTAAAATATGTTTTGTGTTTAAATTAATTAATGTTACTTTAAGGTGCATTGTAATTTTGAAACTTAGCAGCGCGCCCAGTTTTTTTAACTAAAATTTTTTTATTTCTTTTTCACATGGCGCATGGACTTGGCATCTTGTTTATCTTTTTTTTTAAAAGATAAGTTTTTTTATGGTACGATTCTACATTTGCAAATTTAAATTTTTACTGATTCATTATACGACTCTATATATGTCTGCAACTTTAATTTTCCACTGGTACAAGTTTCTACTTTCACTTGGCGCAATTTTTTTTTTATTTCATTACTTTTGTTACGATTGTACATGGGTTTATAATCGATAATTTTTCATACAATTCTATTGTACATGGGTTTGCAATGTAGGATTCTACATAAGTTTGCAATGGATAATTTTTAATACAATTCTACATGGGTTTGCAATAGGATAGGATTCTACATGGGTTTGCAATGGATAATTTTTGTTAATGGCGTGCCCTTAACTGGTCGCCTTTTTTTACCTTTTTTTAAAGGTGATTAACTGTTCCGGGCAATGGCCTGTCCATGAATCTAGCAACAGCAAACTTTTCTCTTTAGTATTCGGAAGATATACCTCTAAAAACCAATTTGTAAAGTGTTGGGTTGTGAGCTTTCCGGATTTTGAAGTCGCAATGTAAACATTAGCAGGTCGAAAAAGAGTTTCTTCTACTCGTGGTTCAAACGACCCAGTAGTTTCTTTTAAGATATATAGAGGCGAAAGAAGATACCCGTTCGCAGATATAATTGGCATAATAGTATAACTATGACTTATAGAAGATAAAGATTGAACAGTAGAATCGACTGTCTTTACTCCCATATTAGTTAATGTTCTTCTAGAATGTATTTCTAGATTAAAACCGCTTTTATCTGCATTATAAGTTGATCCTTCACCAGTTATAGCAATATGTGGTTTTACATTTGTCACAAATTCTTCTGCATTTTGATGTATCAGTGCATCAGCTTGTAAATTAGATTGCGTTTTAAATTTCGTTATTTTACGTGATGTGATGCGATGAATTTTTTTAAAATTCCATATCCACCAATGTCCTGCTTTAAATGTAGCAAAATTCACTTGCTCCTTTGCTTCTAGCGTCCACCTTCGCAAATCGATGTCATGAATAATAGATCCTCTATCAATAGTTTCTTGAAATTTTATTAATACATATTCGGCAATGAATATCAATTTGTCTCTGTTTGTCCCTCCACGCATTATATACTCCTGCCATCTGTACAATTGCGAAACATGTTTTACCTAAAAGAGAAAAAAGATCCAATATTTAAAAGATTATATCAAACACAAGAAAATTAATCGAATGCAGATGAACATGCGACATGAAACGTTGTTCCTGACTTCTGTTTATTATCCACTATGATATTTATACACGTTTATCTATATTTAGTTAGTATTGTACTTATTTTTAATGAGAATTTACCTTTCTAAAACAATTCTGTACAACAGAAACGGATAAACGTCTTTTTTTTCCACTGTTCCAATATTCAACCGCTTTTCTTTTATAATTTAAATCTACACTTCCACCTTCGTCATCTACAATACAAACTTCATTTTCATAGTTATCTTCTTCAGCATGAGGATCATACGAATCTACAAACTGTACAGCTTGAGGTTCCGATGGATCATCAAAATCAAGTCCCCAATCATATTCAATCGTAATATCGTCTTTTAGAGAATCCCTTATTAAATTTGAAATTGCATCGTGGAGTTCTACTTCACGATGATTAACAGGAGTGACAGCGAGATTTGCAATGTGAAACGTTGTAATTAACAAATTTATAACGTTCGCCGTATTTATGGCCAACATTTTGACATAAATGCTTGAATAAATGTTATATGAAACTTTCCCACAGAAAGTATCACACGTACAATATATTAAATAACATGAATGAAATGCAGAAGCGGATGGCTTTTATACTAATTGTATAAGGAAAACGAACATTAAAGATAGCCTTCCCATAACCTTCCCTTTTATTGCATCACATCAATCTCGATAATCCTTCAACCTTTCAACTATTCAAAGTTGATAACGTTCTCATAAATATAATGACGTACATAACAGGAAATATTACATATACGTTAGTGCATCCGTGTTTATTTCATTCTAGACGATAATCTTTAATTTTTTTTACCAAAGGTCTAAATCAGAAATTACTTTATCGATAACTTTGATTTTTACGATATATTTTGACTACTATATTATTTATAAAATGTGTAATATACAAAAATCAGTTACGTGATTAGATTTATTACGAACATCTGTTTCATCGTTATCTTGTATTGCGAAAAATTACAGAGAGAAGGGGAGAAAGAGAAGTCGTAGCCAAAATTAGCGGGCCGATAAAATTGACAGCATACCCTGTAAGGATGTTTTCAGTTTATTTCTCAAAAACACGTTTACGGATCGCAACTTTATTATATATGGTTGAATTTGGCGTGAAATAAACTTTAATTTTAGTTGCAAGAAAAATTTAAATATGAAAAAAAAAGATACGTGGTGGGGGTATTTTGAAAAATTAAACATTTTTGCAAAATATGATCATGCCATTATAAAGAGCTTTCGAAACCATAAAACTTTTGTTGGAAACATTTTTTTATATTTCTCATTATTTCGGCGATATTCGCTTGAAAACGTAAACACCGATTTTATTTAAGGGGATGCTGCACCCCTAAAACCGAATATCAGCAGCTAAAAAAAATTGTTTCGTGATTAGGTTCATCTACTCTAAACTTATACAAAGTTTCAGATTTTTTGAATTTTACACTTGCCAAACTTCCCTTTAAAATTACAGGTCAACATGTTCGCGGTGAAAAATATGGACCGTTACTCTAGATAGCAAACGTACGTCAGTTTGACGTCGAATGACGTCATTAGACGTTTAATGACGGCAGTTTGCTACTTGGGAACGTATTTAGAAAATTTTGCTACTTCTGAAACACTATTAAAAATGCTACATTGAGATTTTAGCTAGGGATAATCAAGGCCCATGCATTAAGGATGTTCAGGCATTAGGACAAAAATGATGAAAATCCAATTATATTCTGTAGATTTCAACATAAAAAAATCTGTTAAAATTTGAGATTATTTTAGAAGGTTGTTAATAGGAAAATTAAATAATAAAATTACATGTAGTCTTATGGAAAATGGGCTAAAAGTTATGATATCTCAGTAAAAAATGATTAAAAAAATTTGAAATTTTTTAACCAGAATAAGTAAGATTACACAATTATCCATACCAGTTTTTAACTTTATTGAGAAACTTGTTTTCTTTATTTAATAATTATTTTCGAGCAATTTCTTAGTATGACAAAAAGTGGCAACGTTGCATTCGTTGCAGCAACATTAGAGTGACGAGTTGTCATTGAATGTCAATGTTATTGAAGTGAAGTTATCTTATTAGGTTAGTATTTCCTTATTGGGAGTTTAAATATTTAGTGCGACACTGGCGGCCGCTGCGTGAACTAATCAATATGGCTACCGCATCGACAGTTTTATTGTACGTCATTGTACGATATTCAGTGAATTTGTGGAAAAATAAGCACTTTGAAAAAACATTGTAGAAAATTAAAAATAAATTTGTTGAGAAGATAATGGAATTTTCTCCTCAGCATAGAAGAAAAGTAGCCGATGGAAGTTGCTGCGTAAAAACGTGTGGCTCCAAAAGATATAACAATGTTAATTTAAGCTTTCACCAAATTCCAAAATATGGAAGTGCTAAAATCGCAAGAACCAATTTATTTGGCAATGTGGAATTTGTGGATAAACGTTCAGAATGATTCAGAATATTAAATGTTGTCGATGATAACAGGGAGCTATCAATTGAGGACACTAATTCTAATGTGCTTAGATCCTTTCTGTAAATTACAATTATATTTGTAAAATTAATATTTTTAATTGTGGTCGAAAAATTTATAAAATAAATATACAATTCATGACAACAAATGTGAAAGTATTGCCAGAGAATTATATGCCAAAGTAATAGTTTCATTCATTCAAGAGTGTGATTTAATCATTTTAAAAAGTGAACCGTGACTAACATATTCGCTGTCAGGCAAAACAATTCTTTGACACGATTAAGAATAGAAAGTTTTTTTATTTTGTAAAAAAGTTTACGTACCGATTGCAATATAGTAACACAGCTACTATGTGTTTGCAACTGTGACTTGTTCCAGCTTTGCATGAACAATTCATTTTTTCTATATAAATTTTACTTTCCTCATTGTTATTTATTGAAGATATAATTAAACGTCCTGTTATTATGTGCGGCTCTGACGTTAAGGCACTTGTTTACAAGCACAATGAATATAAATCTATTTTACATTTTGTCTTTTCTGTTGCACCGCACCCCAAGGAGAACAGAAGGTCAAAATGATGTCAATTTGACGTCATATTGACTAAATATTGACCAAAAATGACATAAATTTAGTCAATATGACATCAAATTGACATCATTTTGACTTTTCTGTTCTCCTTGGGACATTATTATCATACCAGAATTAATAATATTCTGGCCTTCGATCATGTTTCTTGATGATAACGATGCACGGGTATACTCACACATATAGCCAAACAAAGTGTCAACATTTCTTATGTAAAAATAACAAAATGATAATTTTTTTATGTCATTAATATTAAAGCTAAGATGTCGACGTGGCGGCCATATTTGTTGTGCTACGCTAGCGCCACTCTTACCGCGGTGGATGTTTTCTTTCCCAATACTTTATTTTTTGACTCCATTGTTTGAATTTGTTTACATGCTTAACTACAACATTCAGTGCTGTGAATGACATATACATACACTATCAAATGTTATACAACGTTGCCAAATGTAAAAATGGTCTAACTCTTGAAATTGACTGTACGTGAGAAAGTAAACTTTTAGCAGAGGGAAAAAGTACCTGTACTGCCCGAACATCCTTAAAAGGAAAAATTTAACGTATAAGACGGGCAACAAGAGCCAAATCGCGGATGACAATGCGTTGTTCTAACGAAACTAAATAATTTTTCGTTAGAATTAAATACCGGTGCACAAGGCACCAAATTTTTACTTGGACACGGCCAAGATTTTAAATATGAAATAATCTCATATTTTGAGATTTAATTTCAATACCCCTTTAACCCCCCTACGGAAAATAAATAAATGAATGCAAGAGAAAAATATAGATCCGAAAATCGCTGAATCGGGAATCGAACCCGAGACCTTTCGCTTGCCGGGCGACTGCTCTTCCAGCTGAGCTATTCAGATCCTTTCGATTCTATACTTTTCTCTGTTATATATATTAATGTTGGTAAACAAACGCATTTTTTAAGCCAGCGTGTATCAAATATAAGAGTTTTAACAAGGCTCTGTAATATAAATATAAATTTAACGTATAAGACGGGCAACAAGAGCCAAATCGCGGATGACAATGCGTTGTTCTAACGAAACTAAATAATTTTTCGTTAGAATTAAATACCGGTGCACAAGGCACCAAATTTTTACTTGGACACGGCCAAGATTTTAAATATGAAATAATCTCATATTTTGAGATTTAATTTCAATACCCCTTTAACCCCCCTACGGAAAATAAATAAATGAATGCAAGAGAAAAATATAGATCCGAAAATCGCTGAATCGGGAATCGAACCCGAGACCTTTCGCTTGCCGGGCGACTGCTCTTCCAGCTGAGCTATTCAGATCCTTTCGATTCTATACTTTTCTCTGTATATATATTAATGTTGGTAAACAAACGCATTTTTTAAGCCAATGTGTTTGTTTACCAACATTAATATATATAACAGAGAAAAGTATAGAATCGAAAGGATCTGAATAGCTCAGCTGGAAGAGCAGTCGCCCGGCAAGCGAAAGGTCTCGGGTTCGATTCCCGATTCAGCGATTTTCGGATCTATATTTTTCTCTTGCATTCATTTATTTATTTTCCGTAGGGGGGTTAAAGGGGTATTGAAATTAAATCTCAAAATATGAGATTATTTCATATTTAAAATCTTGGCCGTGTCCAAGTAAAAATTTGGTGCCTTGTGCACCGGTATTTAATTCTAACGAAAAATTATTTAGTTTCGTTAGAATAACGCATTGTCATCCGCGATTTGGCTCTTGTTGCCCGTCTTATACGTTAAATTTATATTTATATTACAGAGCCTTGTTAAAACTCTTATATTTGATACACGCTGGCTTAAAAAATGCGTTTGTTTACCAACATTAATATATATAACAGAGAAAAGTATAGAATCGAAAGGATCTGAATAGCTCAGCTGGAAGAGCAGTCGCCCGGCAAGCGAAAGGTCTCGGGTTCGATTCCCGATTCAGCGATTTTCGGATCTATATTTTTCTCTTGCATTCATTTATTTATTTTCCGTAGGGGGGTTAAAGGGGTATTGAAATTAAATCTCAAAATATGAGATTATTTCATATTTAAAATCTTGGCCGTGTCCAAGTAAAAATTTGGTGCCTTGTGCACCGGTATTTAATTCTAACGAAAAATTATTTAGTTTCGTTAGAACAACGCATTGTCATCCGCGATTTGGCTCTTGTTGCCCGTCTTATACGTTAAATTTATATTTATATTACAGAGCCTTGTTAAAACTCTTATTCTGAAAGGTTTTATCAGGATAGTTATGTCTAGATATTATATAATTATTTTTAGTTCAAATCGGTGGTCTAAGCAGTATGTGTCTAGTTGTGAGTTTTTTTGTGTTTAATGGTTGTAAATCATAATTATCTATTATTTAGATTTTTTTGAGTCTATTATATTTTTGTTCAGCAGATCATAAGCTACAATATATGAAAAAACCAACAGATTCTATTAAGATTTAATTTTATATAAGATTAGTTACTAAATTTTTGAATTTATATATGGCATTTTAGATGAAATTGCTTCCCGATAAAATCAGCTAATTTTCTCATATGTTATGACTTAT